TCTCAAGACCAGGTATTGGGTATTTCCCAAGGATCTGCTGTTACCTGCGAGTATTGGCGCACTCGCTGTTGTCATTCTGGGTATCTTCACAGTGTCGAGGTTATCTTCGTCTCATTACTAGGTGGAGGATAAACTAGTAGGATTCATTGCTAGGTCTGGCATATGGCAAAGTGAGAAGATCGTGTGGGTTGATGATGGATTTTACGATGTCTTTTTTCTTCTTTACGTAGAATGGGTTCTCTTATACCACAACTATGTCTACTTTTCCCACTTTCTTTAACATACGTCTTAGGACAGATATTTCACGACATAACATGCAAGTTCAACTGCTTGTCGAGGAAAGTTCAATCGCCATATTTGGCAAGAACGCATCAATTGCGCCACGCAGCGGAATCAACTTCCTATTAACGTACCCCAGCGGGGTCCAACACCTTGCTTGCTTGGTTTTAGGAAGAATGAGGAACCAAAGAAGCTCAAAAGAGGGAGAGGCAATTGAGGTCTCTTGAGGTATGCATAGAGATGAATGTTCAAATGACAACATTGACGAAGTTCTAAGCGCCAAAGATTATTCCAAGCGATGAAAGCCTTCCAAGCAACGAAAATGTTACAAGCGACGAGCCAGTTACAAGCGAGGAGAGGTGATTTAGCCGACAAAGGAGGATGCACAGGAAATGAGACAGAAAGAGGAAGGAGAGGCCCGAAACATGGAAAAATGAGACTGAAAAAGGGATTTTGCACGGGCGCTTGTTTTGATGGAACCACCAATGACCATTGCAAGCAAGGTGAAATGAATTGTTCTCATCCTGTCATCAACTTCCACTGCTCGTCCACTGCTCAACTTTCTAAACATTCACAATGGCCCCATCCAAGGCAGAAAGGGCAGAAAAAGAACAAATCTTGTCATCTTTAGTACGTTCTCAAAGGCTGAGAGCACCTCCTTCTATTACTAATACTACCATAGAGCAACAAACTGTTCTGCGATTTCCTGGACGATTTCATCATGGATAAAGCTCTTGAAGCTCACGCACGCGGAGGTGTTCAAAAGCCGTGCTGTCTGCGAGATCTGTCGAACGCGGTCCATGCTTGGTGTCTTCGATGTACGTAGCCGCAGAAGCTAATACATAGCTTTCGTTGGAGCAGGTGTAACGCGGGTAATATCTCGTTCAAAGTTGATAATATCTCTTTGTTCAACACATCATACAGCTCATGTTCCAGTCTCGCTCAGTCAACGCACTCAAACGTCCTCATCCAGAGCAGAAACGCCTTCTGCGGTCGAAGGAAGCACCAACACGCCCAACAGCGGCAAAGGAGGTGATGGCACCATACACTTGGCCATTTGAGCAACTGCATGGGACTGAATAGCTCCAGAAGAGGCGCCGTGCGCGGGAGCACGAAGACAAAATATGACCGAAGTTCAGTGATTTCTTCGGTGTTGGATTTTGACTATGTCTTTCCTATAGACAGCCTTCAGATGCGGGAAGGTCCGGATCTCCTGCTTCAGAAGCAGGTTATATCTCCGAAGACGGTAAAGCACAGAAAGGTAAAGGAAAGTCAAAGACGAAACGAGCAGGTTTGGGTTGTGTCTCTTTGTTCTTGCGAAGTACTCATCATCTGTGATGCCAGATGAAGCAGAGTTCAACCTCAAGCGGAAACGGGTATCTATCTTCCAATACTACCATGAGCACAATGTTGACTTATGACTCTATTTTCAGCCACTTTCACCCCAGGTATCACCTAGCAAGAAACAGAGACAGAAAGGTGCGTGTAGTGACTCAGAACATCCTCAGTACGGGCTCTTCATGGCTATTCTCAGGCTCCCCTGCCTCTCGTGTCAAGTCAGATATGGATGGGATATCAAGTGTATGCACATGGTTCCATTCGTTGCCAGATGCTTTCTCACTGTGCAACCTTTAAGACATCATCCATCCCAACAACCAACTCCCAATCCAAAATCCCATCAAAGCTCCGCGACTCATCGCTTGCGTCCTTCAACGACAGAGAGTCATCAGGATCCTCCCGAGAATCCTCACCTGACGCATCGTTATCATCTATACTCAGCTCTAGTTTCATGAACAAAGGCATGGTCACTCGCCCCAAACCTGTACCGTTAAAACAGCCCAGTCCTCCGAGGCCGCCTCCACCTGTTCCTGCATACATCGAAGGTCAGTCAATCATAATTTGCTGGTATACTATCTTGCTGACAAGCACGTCTTGCATCAGATGATGAAGGAGATGAGACCGGGTCTTCCACTGATACTTCCGACAGTGGATGATGTTATATCGTCCTCATCGTTCACGAGTATTCGTTTTTGCTATCGTCACATTTGGTACTGTATATATGTACTGCTTGACTCGATATTTATTACTGTCCGTTGCTATTATCACGAATCCCAACATGTCATTTTCTTGAATGAAGTTCAAACTAAGAACGGGCGCTTAACACGCTCGCTTGATCCTCTACCATGATGTCGTCCCAACAGAGTAGGTGCGAAATTGTCTGCATGAATCGAAATCATTGGACATAGTGCACCATAGTCCTCTGCACTTCAGTCATTGCTGCTGCTGCATTCTCAATTGGCTACTACACTGGTCACATAACAAAACCGACCTCTGGGAAGGACAAGTTCGCCTCACGAAAAGTCACATCTGTGACACCAAGCAAAAACGACTCTGACATCGAATCCGACTCAGATACGAGCGAAGAATCCGATAATGGTGTTTCTGGCCTCAAAGTAGGCCCTCTGGACGAATGTAAAATGGTAAGCACCTCGGTTTCCTTGCGAGTACGTGCCCAACTTCAACTGACGCGCTCGTGTCTTCAGGTTCTCGTTGTACGGACGGATTTAAAGATGTCTGCAGGAAAGATCGCTGCTCAGTGAGTGAGATGTGAGCTCAAATTTAATGATTCCATCATTGCAAATCTTCAGGTGCTCGTAAGCCATGACAGTTCGTATCAAAGATACAGTTTGCTCAAGTATATTGGTTTCCCTCTACAGACACGCCACTCTAGCGTGCTACAAGACGCTGTCGGCCTCAAATCCAGCCGTGAGCAAATTAATGTCCGTTCGTTGGTAGACACCGAATCAACTTGGTCCTTTTGCAGTTGCTGAGGCAATGGGAAAGGAATGGGTGAGTTTCAACCAAGCACGCCCAGAATGGAGTTCCGGATATTGATTGTTTCGAATGATAGGCAAGCCAAGATCGCGCTGAAATGCTCCAGTGAGGAAGAGCTCCTGACGCTACAAGCGCAGGCTCAGAGTTTGAATCTCTGTGCTCGCTCAATACAAGACGCGTAGGTTTTGTGTAACTCTTCGTCGAGTATAATTCAAAACAGTGCATAGAGGAAGAACACAAGTAGCACCAGGATCAAGGACTGTTCTCGGAATAATAGGCAAGTGCATGATTCGGTCGATGTATCATTCAGAGTTGACGAGTTATTTTAGGACCAGTGAAGATGGTAAATACAGTAACAGGAGCACTGCGGTTACTCTAGATGCAGTAGACTGAGATGCTATGGGATCCGGCGGAATCAGTCAAATTGCAACATACGGAGAGTTGGAGAGCTGGATATGTAGATTTGTTCGGATAGTATGTAACTGCTTGAAGGCGGTGTTCTTAGGTACTACTTGCTGTTTACGACTACGACGCTACCTTATTAGAATAATCTCTACGACTCGTGAACTCTCATCGCAAAAAGGTCCTTAACCATTCGAAGTTGCATCGCTTTTCGAACCCAAAACGAGTTTTGAAAGAAAGAGAAACAGATAATTATAATAGGCAAGTCGCTTAGCTGGCCGGAACTTTTACCTGAAACTCACAACTGACCTCCACTATCTCACTCTTTTTGTCCACAGTCTGCTCGAATCTTCGCAGGTCGACTTTCTGGCTGCTACATAATATTATTTCAAGTTATCCAAGATGGCTTACCAGGCTTCTTACCCCAACAATCCTTCACACTCACAAAGCCCCAGCTCGGCGCTTTAACCAAAGATTCAAGCTACACGAAGAGGTAATTGAAGAAACTCAATATGTATGTTGCAGAGAATGACGAGGACGATGATGAACCCTCTTTTGACTTGGATCTCATGCTTCTCCAACAACACATGTAGAAATATCGGACAACGAACAAGATCTACCACCTACTTCAAACTCATCTGCCTCCGAAAACTCCTCCGCTATCCCCACAACCAACAGAAGTTCGCTTTCGGAACCGCCCCCAGGTGCAATGAACACGCCGTCTGCAGAGATCCAGGGTGAGGATGATTTCTACGAAGATCCTGCTGGTAACGGTGAGTATTTGATGACTGTTTGAAAACGATTCTGACTTCCCAACTCAAGATGAAGAGGAAGAAGTTTCAGTACGATACCATCCGCCAAAGGTATCCCGTCATCGCGGAAATGTGGTATCAACTATTCCCAGTGAGCTGGAAAACCCGGACAATGAACACGAAGATCGTTCTCATGAAAAGCCCGTCCGGCGCGCGCGAAGATAATGAAATCGATTCCACCAACGGCTGATCTTCAAAACGCAAGAAGGGGTAATCATTGTATATCCTATCTCTCAATGCTCAAGTCTCAATGCTCAATGTCATGCACAGTACTCGTTTTGTTTCGCAATGCTCACTCAGATTCTGAAGTTGTCATCGTGTATTAGTCTCTGCCAGTAATGAAATGTTATACCTACTAGTACTCTCATGTGTGAATTACCTTCCCAACAACGATGAATGATGATTTCTATCATCAACCATGAGACACCTAGAATAACCTTCGAAATCCATGAAAACTGACTGACATTGTGATACTGTGATCCAGGATGATGAGCGATGATACGAGGTGACAAGCAAATGATCATCGGGGGGAACCAACGGTATCGTCAGTTATCATTTGCTCTCATTGCTTGTCTCAATACGAAGCAAATGATAAGAAGAAAACGATCTAACGACCTTTAATATTGTATGTACATGCAAGGACTTAGATTAGAAGACCTTGTCTTCTCACAAGCCTGCTTAGCTCAGTGGTTAGAGCGCTTGGGAACTATTGATCTCAAGTGACGCGAGTTCGATTCTCACAGTGGACATATGTACTTGATGACAAAGGCCTATTTTTAATAGGGGTATTATTTTTGGTTAGAGTCAGTGTTGGACATGAGCTAATGACGAACGTTTACACTGGATGCTCAGACTGATCTACCATATATTTTGGTTGGGTCGTTTTGGTGAGAGGCTCAGCTTTTCTCCGGGTGAAACCCGTTTTTCACCAACACAATACGCGACGGCGTTAAGCCTGTTTCGGATCATTGACGACAATGGAGTGGTATGAAACAAAATCACAGCAGGGGATCTTGCATTTGCAGAACAACGGCAGCTCAAGCAAACAACCGACGCCCTCAATCGGTATTCCACATTGGATGAACTTTTAGCGCAGACTTAGCGTGACTGGTGTAGTCATTTCAAGCCAGACTTAATTTATTGATCATCGTACCTCAATACTTGAAGCTTGAGCCTTGGCCCCTGTGGCCATAGTTTGTATCACCCACTGCGTTTGTAGTGCTATATATAATATATGTTTTTGAAAATATCGTGTTATCGACGATCCCAGACAAGGGGAGAAAGGCACCGGTACCACTGTGGTCAGTGTCCTGATCCTCTCTGTCGTGTTGAATTGGGCATCCAGGCTCACTATTCGTGTCCTGCTCGAGGTAGAGACAGACATCTGGGGTATCGCCGTCGGTGTCTCCACTTGTCTCTATTGTCCGACAGCAACATGCTTCAAACAGGTCAAAAAAATTTCGAAGTTCGTTTGACGCGTCTTGAACGAGTCCAACGTAATATCCTGTAGCTCGTGATCACCATTATGGTCGGGTTCTTAAAAAGTCGTGAAAACTCGCCCTCAACTTGTAATCACCACCATCCCTAGTAGCTGTCTTCCGTACCACCCAGAATTAGGCTTCAGATCTTGATGAAACGTCGGTACTTTGGCAGTCACTAATGGTTACTGTAGACTCACATGATTTTCTGACAGGCAACTTTGAAGATCACTCTTTCCACCACGAGCGCAAAATTGAAGGCCTCAAACCCAGCCGGTTTATCAAACCTGAGATCGAAAAGTGTCTGGGAGCTGGTCTTCACTCTCAAATTGATTACTTGGAATGGCATGCCATTCAACTTTCCTCGGGTGGGTTTTTTCCCCCGGGAAATGACTTTTCAAACTCACCGCCCAAACGGTAGCTTTGGCTGTGCTAGCTAAGGAGCGTGCTCAAGAAAAAATACGTGCTCAGGATGACCTAGCCAATGCGTTGGAGAGACTTGGTGAGTGAACCCGCAACTCAAGTAGCGTGCTACTCTGATCTGGCTTCACCATTGATAGAAAGACCCCATCGATCCTTCACTCACCTTCAAAGTACTCCTAGCCACCCACAGAGGCTTGCTTCTACCCCCTTCACCCCACCTAACACCCCAACACAATGGGTGTACAGGCTGGAGGCTCTTCGAATTCCGTCGCCTATACTGGCATCCTGTGCTCCAAAAGACCTCAACAGTCCCTCTCCAATTTCCTTTTCTTGCCACGCCCAAAAATCTTACTCTGGCAAGTGATGTTTTCAAGCGTGCTCGTCCGGGTGTCTATGATCCAAGGTGCGGACGTTCAAACTGATGAAGGGCTTACCTGATGCTTGGTTTAGGCAGAATACTCCTTCTCAGAAAATGGCTTGCTGGGCAGGAGCCATACATGCTCTCAGACATAGAGGAATAGATGCAACTGTTGAGGCGGCAAAGGCTAGTGACCATCAAAGACCGTGAAATGTAGAAGTTGTTAGTAATGCCGTAGGAGCTCAAAAATTTCTCCGTTCTCCATCGTTTATGGAACTTCGGCACCCCAGTACCAGTTGGCAGTGTCGCGAAAATATAACTGAGCAAACAAAAAAACAACTTCACCGGGTTACGACGCGGGGCGTTGCTTGTTCTTTTTTGTTTGTACCAATATCCACGTTTGAACCGAAATTTCAATCCATCCACTGGTCTTGACTTCAGAATTCAAGGTCGTGTATTATCGTGGGCGTTAAATTGCTTGGACCATGCATCATCATGGGCGTTAAACTACTGGAAGCAGAGGATTACATAATCAGTTCTCGCTCATCGGTGAAATATTGCCCAATGGGAGATGGGCAGTAGACTACATGAGCTAGCAAGATCACGCCAATACGATGAGTACATTGATTTGTTTCTGGCTCTGTACAGAGGTAAATACTCGCAGTCTCCAGTCTACCAGGCTCAATGAGAAATTGAAGCGCCTTTGGGGAGCATCAACTCGCTACGTGGTTTGCGCATTAGATCGGTGTCAGCAATGAGATACCGGAGAATGGTTGCATAGGTCAGCTTTGTAGACCACCTGCCCCATTCAAGGATCTGGATCAGATCAAACCCCATATCTACGTAGAGGAACTGAGTTCCTCCACGTCGAAATGCATGAATGGTGTATAATTCAGGGGGCTCCCCTATCTCTTTGAGTGAGTACCGGAGATTTTTCAAAAAACTCTTTTTATCCTAACAGATGATAGTCGAATCAATGAAGTGTGATCAAGCTTGATGAAATGAATTTACCATGTGAGATTCCGAATCTTGAATTGAATCATAGCCATAAATTTTTGGGAACAAGTAGCCTGAGGTGATTCCCGTTAGACGTAGCCAAGCACGAATGCCCCTGACTACGCAGAAGTTTTCGAGCATGTCATCAGTCTCGGCGTAGAAGTCAAAGGGCTCCACTTCTATGTGACTCTTAAGTGACACGACAAAGAGCTCAAGGTTGTGCTTACTGCCTCTCTGTTGAGTCTTGGTCGTTCGAGGGCGAATCCCTATATGCGTATTGTTCCTATGAAGTGGAAGGGTGTCAAGGTCATCAATCTTCAGCACTAGAACGTCGTTTGTTCGAAGTAGACACCGGAAGGCAATGAGGCCAATAAGCCAGGTAGAAAGTCGTTTGATGATACCTCCCCAATCGTCACTCTCTTTGGGAGAGGACCCTTTATCGGGGCTCGCATTGCATTCTATCCACCTCAAGAGGTTTCGGTGTAACTCTTGCATTACATCAGCGTTGGCAGCCCTTGAGCTTGTCGAGAATTCCCCGGCCTGGGCCTAAGGATTGTCTTCACTATTTTCCGAAAACTCAAGATTTGAAAAAGCCATTTACCTTTCTCGATTGGAGGTTCTTCATATATCGTGTCACTTCTAGAGATTGTGCCGGGTTCCCGGTCATTTTTTTAAGCTGACGGTCGTAGAACCAGAGGCGATCTCTGCGAAGATTGCGGTTAAAGCCATAGTTGACGGCAGCGCGCATCTGGGACGCAGATGCGAAGGAGAGCGCTTTACGCTTGGGGTCGTTGATATACGCTGGGTCACACCTGTGAATGGTCCCGAAGTCAGTTAATGAGAGACAATCGAAGTTGCTAGCATACGCAGAGCCAATCCAGTCGATAATTTCACTAGGTATGTCCTCCGGTACATCATCAATGTCAACATCGAAGATTGTCTCATTGTTTGTCCATCGTTGCTTTTGACGCAGGAAATGATCAAAATGGGACATTTTTCTATCATCAAAGTATTTCAGGAAGCTGGAACATGAGAGAAGAGTGGATCATTACCCAATATAAGCCTTGACGGTTCCCTTACTCAACTCTTCATCAAACATCAACTTCATTTCTTGGCGAGCCTCGCCGACAATCGAGCCAGCATTGTCATTCTCGCACCCCTTCAAAACACCAAAGACGGCATCAATTCCTACAGGCCCGCCGTAATGTTCCCCATTAATATCCTCATTCTCATCGTCATCGCCATCCTCATCCTCGCTGACTTCGTTCAAGTCATCGCGCTTGTCCGATTCTGGCTTCTGGAGCAACTGCCGCGCCCTTTTGCTTGGGGTGTCCTGAGAGTTTTTAGTCTGTTATGAAGCACGTTAGCTGCAAAGTTGGTTAGTGCTACTACAACACATACTCGTTTTTTAGATTTCGGAGTGAGAGTCGAGTCGTTGGATTTGGGAGACATTGAAGTGGTGCAAACAAAGGCTTGATTCCCAGTGAAACTCTCATACTCACCAAGAACCGAAGATGACGGGGTCAAAAGACGTACGAGAATCAGTTCCAGAAGGTGAATAAGTGACAACAATTTAACTTTCTCCCTGTGTATGTATGAGGTACGTTGCCATCACAGTGGCGGTTGGACAAGGATTTTTACCTAAGGCTTTGGGCCTGGCTGTTCCCTTGTGGGACCCCACCCTTGGTGGAGCCGATTAGCTTCCTTCCTTCCTTCCTACAATAATTCTCTGGTACATTGTTTCAGAATTTCACTGAGTGTGTTATCACAAAGAGCCTCAGGTTTATAGCCGTGCTGGGCCAGCGTTTCGATCAACCTCTGAAGAGAGAATGATTTTTATTGCGTTCCGTGTTCAGAGATCACTCACCTTCCATCGGTTCCACTGGGTACGGTGAGCTCCCCTTTTCCAGTGGCCTGCCTTTGAAAATACTTCCTTCCAGTATTTCGCTGGTAGCACTGTTCCGTTGACTTTCGGACAGATATCAGGGTTCCATGTTGTAAGCTCATCGTCCCAAAAACAAAGAAGACGCTTCAGATACAGTCCCGAAGCTTTTGGCATGGTTACTGATGGGTATGCTGCAATATCTGCAGCCGAGAATTTGATGGATTGTCCGTAAGAGAGTCTGACTTCAAATTTTTCCGAGAAGGGGGCAGAAGCTAGGAGGAGCTTCATTGGTTTCAGCAAAGGCCGAGCTGTCGCTAGTCGGGTTGACGAAATACTTTGGATCAGAACCGTGGAAGACACAAGACCATACGGATCCGGAACCATAGCATCGACTCTACTGAGCTATCAAAGTTTTGAGTGTTACAACGTTGGAATGTGTCATCATCATTCATACCCATGCTCTGATATCTGGCCCCACTTTGCCATTGGTCTGATTTTGTTTGGCCGCAGTGCTAAAAGTTTGTTCAGGGAAGAGCTCTGTTCGAGGATATATCAAAGCACTTGCCTCCGTTTGGATGGATCGCTTGAATAGTTACGGAGCTCAGCTAT